TCACAATTGCATGAGTCTTAGTCTTGATCACATTCTTGCAATTGCAGCTTTGACCTAGAATGATAGTCTCTGAATAGGTTAATAGAGCAATCTAAATTGGAAGTAGTGAATCGATTGTGTGAGAGTCAATCGATTCATTGCTCTGTACTAGTGAATCATACCTAAGTGAGTTCCCAATCTGGATTAGTAGTTTAACCAAGTTTCACTTGTCAATTAGTTTGGTTAATTAATTCTTAATATGATTTGATAAATAATAAACTAAAATGAGTAATATAACTCTAGAGTATAGACCCGTGGATTCGATTTTTATTACTTGTGCCACTATACTGCAGTCCCTTTCACTATACTGCAGTCCCTTTCACTTGTGCAAACATGTGCAAATACGACATTATCATCGGGCCACAGTTGGCAGAATGCATTTAAGAGGTTACGGGTTGAACCCCAAAGGTTACGGGCGTAACTTGATGTCGTAACTTGGCTTCTAAGAGCTATTTAAATGCGTTTTGCGGATTTTGAATGGAGAGCTGAGTTTTGAATCTCAAACACCCAAGGGACAAGCCAATGAGAGAGAGAGAGAGAGAGAGCGATTTGAGGGTAATCTTGGAGTGGAATTGGATAATTTTTTTCCCTTGGAAGCTCGAGGAACAAGCCTAGACATGAAGATTGAAGATCTGGAAAGTTATACGTATATTTATGATTGGTTGACATTATATATTCAATTGAGGAACCGTACGTATATTTGCTAGGATAAGAGTTGTACGAACCCATATTTATGATTGGTTGGCATTATATATTCAATTGAGATGTTTATTCACAATTGCATGAGTCTTAGTCTTGATCACATTCTTGGAATTGCAGCTTTGACCTAGAATGATAGTCTCTGACTAGGTTAATAGAGCAACCTAAATTGGAAGTAGTGAATCGATTGTGTGAGAGTCAATCGATTCATTGCTCTGTACAAGTGAATCATACCTAAGTGAGTTCCCAATCTGAATTAGTAGTTTAACCAAGTTTCACTTGTCAATTAGTTTGGTTAATTAAACTTTAATATGATTTGATAAATAATAAACTAAAGCTGAGTAATATAACTCTAGAGCATAGACCCGTGGATTCGATTTTATTACTTGTGCCACTATACTGCAGTCCCTTTCATTGGTTACACTTTGCCTTTTGTTAGGAGTTGTTTTTTAGCGAGTCAAATAACCCTAAGTTGATGGAGAAAAGGTCGATCGAGAATACAATAGTAAGCTGACGGACAATCAACAACATGAAAGTGGATGAAGGTTTCAATAGTATGTTCACCACTCTCAATCTGAAGACAAAGTGGTAGGCTCCTGATCATGGGCACTTGGGATCCAGAGCACCCGTCAGACAGATCTCTGTTGGATGGCACTATTCAGGGTGATATCCCAAGGATAGGTATGCGGCGAAAAAGAGTAGGTCCACCGAGCTTCCCCCATCCACTAAGATTCTCTTGACTTTGTAATTGGCTATTATTGCCTTTATTACCAATGGGTCATCGTGTGGTGTGCAACTCTTTCTATATCTTGGGAGTCAAATGAGATTTGGAGTAGGGGTGGGCATTCGGTCGGTTCGATTTCGACCAAATCGAACTTATGTATTCCGGGTTCTCGATTACCACCAGACCTCAAACCGATTCCGAACCGGAATATATTTAATTTCGATCCGGTTCACCCCCAACACCGAAAACTTTTCCTTCCCTTTGTAAATGATGGATCTGCTTCTACTGCACCCATTATTGTTCCCCCTCTCATCCTCTCTCTCTTCTCATCCATTTTTTTATTTTTCCTCTCCATTCTCTCTCCTTTATTCCAATCTACAGATCCCCTGCTCTCCACCATTTTCTTCTTCTTCTTAATTATCATCGACAACCCAATCGATGTTTCCCTCCTCCGCGGCAGATCCAGCTCCTTCCAAAAGCATCAGAGATCCATCAGTCGGCGACTGCCGTCCCTAGAGGAAGCATCACCGCGCACCAACCCTTCTTCTCCCCTCCGTTGCCGCCTTCTCGCCTTCTTCTTCTTTTTGCTTTCTTCTTCTTCATTTTCTTCTTCTTGGATTTAGATGCATGTGGGTTCTTTATGTTTGGAATTGGGTTTCTGGTTTCGAGGAGTTCGACCGAGAACAAAGGGGGATGTGGTGATGGGTGATTTTGTTTTGATTGATTTTTTGGGTTGAATGGCAGGCGAGGCGAGGAGAAGAACAGAGAGAAGGGGGCTGGCTGCTGCTGCTCTGCTGGCCGCTGGGGAGAGTGGAGAGGCAGTTAGGACTTAGAGGTGGGGTTAGGGTTAGGAGTTGGGCTGGCTGGTGATTGATAAAGAGTGGGGTTGGGTTGGTATTGAGAAAGGGTGGGCTGATGATTGATAGTTAGTGGGCTGAGGGAGTTAGTTGGGCTTGGGGAAGAGGGTGGACTTGTTTAGTCTATAGGCTTTTTAATTTAATTCGGTTGGTCGGTTCGGGTTGTCGGAATTCGAGTTCGGTGTCCAGACCCTGGGTTCCGAAATAATGAGTTTTGCCTTCCGAAAAATTACAACATTTCGGTTTTGGTTCAATTTTGTTCCAGTTCGGTTTGGGTTTACCGAACCGTATGCCCACCCCTAATTTGGAGGAGTTGATGTTGTTGCTCAAGTGGAGCCCATAATAGATTGCGGGTTTGTCGGAGGCGATTTATTTGGTATCCCCCCGAGGCCTTCTCACCCATGGATGATATCGACGACCCCTAGAACAACAGTACTCTGAAGAGTCTTGCCTCGATCGGTGGACGAGGGGCTCTCGGGAGCGTTCTATTGAGCCTTCGATGCAAGGTTTGTGCATTTCCCAAATGGTCTTGAACAAAATTCATTAAAATTGAACAGTCTTTTAATAAACTCATGGAAATCAAGGATGTGAAGACAAAAGTCATATGGAGGGAGATTTCTCTCCCCAAGCCCAAGACTTGTGCACTTCCAAAACACTCTTCACTAACATAGTAACATTCAATTATGAAGTCTTCTAATAAACTCACTAAGATTAAGAATGGGTATTGATCTCGTGCATACCAAGCTTTCCCCACCGAAATCCTTAGATTTTCGCCAACAAGGAGGGCAATGGATAAAGCCAACATAAAAAATATTTTAATGGAGTCTGGGCCCACCACTACCCCCGACAATCGGCGCCTGACAACACAAAATCATACCTTAGCTCACGATTTCAATCGGTAACGAGATCCTCCCTCCGCCCAGCTCTTAGCGGCCGAGCCCACTATCACCCCTGGCTCCTGATACCCGCCAACACACTATTGCCTCCGGGCTCGATTTTGCTCGCGACGCCCGGGCCCGCTATCGCCCATGGCTCCTGGTAGGCCGCCGATGAACTATTGCCCCAAGCTTGATTTTGTCCCCGACACCCAGGCTCCGCCTCCCAGCTCTTGACGCCCGGGCCTGTTATCGCTCCCGCTCCTGGTACCTAATGACGCACTATTGCTCATGTGCTTGATTTTCCCCCGACACCCGGGCTCTGCCTCCCGTCCAGCTAATGGCGCCCGGGTCGAGATCCGAGACTAACTTGAGCGTCGGAGGGTGCCCCCGTCTAGATCGGCCGACAGAGCTTTTTTGTAGGAAGAAATCGGAGGCAATATCCCGAAGAAATGTTATGATGATGGGGCACATAAAACCGCTTCGGTGCCCAAGATAGAATAAGTTGACATCAACTACAACCCCTACACAACACGTTGTTTCAGTGAATTTAATTAATAAAAAATTAATTTATTAAATATTTCACGAATTTAAAAGTTAATATTGATGTCATTTGTTGGATTCAAGTATCAATGTTAGGTATTGACATTAAATATTTTATATAAATATGAGTATTTAATATTTTATTTGAAATGTTATATTTTATTTAAATACGAATACGAATGGTAAGTAAATTATATTTGTTGGGTTTTTAGTGGTGTGAATGGAAATGAAAGGGGAAAGTTCCAAGAGAGTCTCTCGAAGTACCATGTTGGTAAGATGTGGGAAGGTATGGCCTCGAATTCGATCGATTTGATGTAATATGTGGTTAATTGGTTAAATTGGTTTGTGTAACCAAATGAACCAAATCGATATGGCGGTTGAAATAACCAAACCGGTCCAACTTCCATGAGGCCGAACCAATGCAGTGGTTGAAATATTTTAAACGAACCAATGCAATGGTTGGGGTGTAACCACCCATACGAAGAGTTGCCTCCCTTCATAAGCACCCCTTCATTCTCTATAAATGGCACCTAACCCCTCTGGTTTTTATATGATTTTTTCTGGTACCAAAATTCTGCCAAAATCCAAAACTAGATTTCTGCATTCTTTTCAAAGAGAAAATCGAGTCAAGTGTGGTTCTCGCCGGTTCGCTGCGTTCGATGGGTTCCGGGGTTTGAGGTACCGCTACGCCGGAAAAGGTACGTCCTTTCTATCCTGTGAGGAATCATTCCATAACCTTGGGTACTAGAGGGGAATAAGATTCTTTAAGGAGAGATAGTGAATTCTATCGGCTAGGACGCTTGCATGTGTATTTACATGTGTTTTCTTAATCATATGTATTTGCTTGTGTTGCAAGAAAATAGTATACGTGAACAATTTCCCCAACAATATTCAAATATATTTTATATATAATTAAATTTATTTGATGTTAATGATTTTTATATTTTGATATATTTCGACATCAACCGACAAAAATCAATTATACAACAAGTCGAACCATTCCATTTGTTAAAGTCACACAACAATATAGACCGATTTCCGATAAAAAAAACAATATAGACCGATTTGGACTTGACACATTGCAGTTAGAATTAGTGCGTTGGAATCACGCTAATCGAAAATCGCGTGAGCACAGCTTATCTGGTTGGTTGGTGCCATCGATACTTGCTGAGCACGACACTTTCACGCACGGACGCATACGCACCGTCCACCTGTAAGATAAGTGTTACAGTGAGAGACGGCAAAGAAGAGGGGTAGCAGTTCTAGAGAGAGAAATTGAAAAAACTGAGCTTCCGAGAGAGAGAGAGAGACACAGGCAGTGTCGTTTGCTAGAGAGAGAAACCCTCCTTTTCTTCCTTAGAGAGAGAAAGTGAAAAAGTTGCGAAAGAAAGAGGGAGCGGAAGAGGAGGATCTGATCGTCCTGGAAGAGGTAAAGGAGCTTCAAACCCTAACTGTTCTTCGAATATCAGATCTATTCGCTCCTTCTCTCCGTCGCCCTTTCTCTTCATCCTGTCTCTTCCTCCGCTTGTCTTTCTGTTTCTGTTAGTTAGGGTTTCGTGTTTGGGCTGGAAGATTTAGGCGGTAGTAACTAGGTCTGAAGAAAAAGTTCGGTCTTTGGTGATTTTACAGTATTTTGGCGTTTTTGCCGGATTGAATTAGGTGTTCTTGCGACAATTAGGGTTTTGCGGTGGCTGTAGATTGTTTGGCTGAAAAGCCCTGGTTTTCTGTCCCAATATTATGTTTCGAAGATAATCTTGTAGGGAAGACGGAAAAAGAGAGAAAGAAAGGGGAGAGTAAGTACGAGAAAAAGGAAAAGGGTAGTTAGGGTTTTGTAGTTACATGTATGGCGTCAGGGTCTGCTGTTGGAGGGGAAGGAGGCAATGATGGACCTAAAGAGAAGCCAAGGTACTCGGAGAGCAAAGTCTATACGAGAAAATCCTTCAAGGGTTTACGGAATAACTTAACCAACAACAGCAACACGAAGGAAACCACAGCCAACGGCACTACCCTTACTACCGCTGGTACCACCACAGCGACTGCACCAACTTCAGCTACAACCAATCAGAACGGAAGTAACGAGAACAAGGCTGCTGACGGTGGCTCAATTAAAGTTTCTGAACCACTAGCCTTGGTATTAGAAGACACAAGTTCTGCTCAATCACAACTACAGTCAGAGCCAGAGCCAGAGCCACGTGATGATAACTCGATTCATGTTTCTGAATCTCAAGCCTTAGTCTCAGAAAATGCAGATTCTGCCAAGCCACAGATTGCTGCCTCGGTTAGTGTTTCTGAACCGCAAGCCTTACTGTCAGAAGACATAGGTTCTACCCTTCCTGGTTGTGGCTTGAATGAAGTTTCTGAACCGCAAGTCTTGGTATCAGCAGACACAGGTTCCACACAGCGGACCCCGGACGGTGAATCTATTAGAGTTTCTGAACCTGAAGCTTCAGTGCTAGAACACTTAGATGTTAGTGTTTCTGAACCGCAAGCCTTACTGTCAGAAGACATAGGTTCTACCCTTCCTGGTTGTGGCTTGAATGAAGTTTCTGAACCGCAAGCCTTGGTATCAGCAGACACAGGTTCCACACAGCAGACCCCGGACGGCGAATCTATTAGAGTTTCTGAACCTCAAGCTTCAGTGTTAGAACACTTAGATTCTGCTCATCCACCGGATGGAGCCTCAATTGAAGATCCACAAACGCAAGTCTTGATGTCAGAGGTCACAGAGTCTGCTCAGCCACAGCAACAACAGGAACAATATCCACTGCAGCCGCCCCAGAAGCAACACCAACTGCCAGGACTGGGGCAGGAGAAGGAGCAACAGGGAGACCAAGTGCATGAGCAGTTAGGGTCACCAAAACAGCCAGAGCCACAGGAGCAACAAGGGGAGCTGTCACAGGAGCTATCAGGGCAACAGAAACAGCCCGAACAACAGGAGCCACCCCCACTGCCTCCTCCCTTACGTGTGGATGTGATCTCAGATGACTCCTCCAACCACCAGAGGCAGCAGGTCGATGCTGCAGCTGGTTTACAGGGGGAGGAAGATCCAGCAAGTAATAGTGCTGGAAAGGAAGTTCTGGAAAGCAGAATAAAGATAAATTTAGCTTCAGTTTCCAAGCAGGAGATGAGAGAGATCAGGAGGAAGCTTCAGAATGAACTCAATACTGTGAAGATGTTGGTGAAGAGAATTGAGGCCAAACAAAGTCAGCTTGGTGTTGCCACTATCAGCAGTTCGGTTCCTTTGAGACATAGTGTCCTTGATAGTAGATTGACAAGGGTAAATTCAAATGTAGGATCTGTTGGTGTTCCTCGTGAAGTCACTGCTACTGTTACTACTCCAACACCAAGGCAGACTCGGCCTTTGCATCAGCTTAGTGTATCTGTGCTGGAGAATAATCAGGGTGCAGCTGAGAATGTCGAGAAAGAAAAGAGAACACCAAAAGCTAATCAATTTTACAGGAACTCCGAGTTTTTGCTTGCGAAAGATAAGTTCCCCCCTGCTGAGAGTAATAAGAAGTCAAAATCGAGTAGCAAGAAGCATGGCTCTGATATGGCTTTTCGATTTGGGTCAAATACCAAAATATTCAGGAATTGCTCTTCTGTACTTGACAAATTGATGAAGCATAAGCATGGGTGGGTGTTTAATTCTCCAGTTGATGTGGAGGGTCTTCGATTGCATGATTACCACACCATTATCAAACATCCTATGGACTTGGGAACAGTGAAGGCAAGACTGAATAAGAATTGGTACAAGTCACCAGAAGAGTTTGCAGAAGATGTGAGACTTACATTTCATAATGCCATGACGTACAACCCAAAAGGTCAGGATGTTCATATAATGGCTGAACAGTTGCTTACTATGTTTGAGGAAAGGTGGGCTGTTGTGAAGGTGGATTATGATCGAGAGACAAGGCTTGTCCCTTATGATATTGGTTTTCCAACACCTACATCCCGGAAGATTCCTTCACTGTCATTGCCTTCCCTTGATATGAGAAGGATTTTAGATCGATCAGAATCGATGACTTATCCTTCTGTTGACATCAGACAGAGACCTGTTGTTACTACTCCATCAGGTAGGACCCCTGCTCCAAAAAAGCCCAAGGCAAAGGATCTGCACAAAAGGGATATGACGTATGAGGAGAAACAGAAGCTTAGTACAAATCTTCAGAGCCTCCCTTCGGATAAGCTGGACAACATCGTACAAATAATTAAAAAGCGAAACTCTGCACTTTTACAACGCGATGATGAGATTGAAGTGGATATTGATAGTGTTGATGCGGAGACTCTGTGGGAACTTGACCGGTTCGTGACTAATTACAAAAAGAGTCTAAGCAAGAACAAGAGAAAAGCTGAACTGGCAATGCAGGCTAGAACGGAAGTGGAGCGAAATGTCCAGCAGAAGGTAAAATCCCGTGCAATACTTCATGAAATTAAAATTTTTCGATTGCCAATGTTATGAAATAATTGTTTATGTGCTGTCATTGTTCTTCTAGCAGGCCCTTCTTTCATCTGCTGCTGATCCCCCTAAAGAAGCCAATGAAGGTGAATTTTGTGGATTCTGCTGATTGTTAGTGACTTGGTTGTACTTCATTTTGTTCACTGTGTTATAATCTTCAACTCATGATTGCAGGTGAAAGAAATGTTTCGAATGTGTCTCCTGTACAAGTGGACAGACAAGCAGATAATGGGAGTAGGTCAAGTAGCTCGAGCAGTTCCAGCAGTGGTTCTGGTTCTTCATCTAGTGGTACTGCAGTGTTTGTTTTGTTTTTTTGGCAGATTACGTGTATATTTTGAAGTCTAATAATCTGTGATGGTCTCTTCAATGACATGCCTCATATTTTTGGCAGACTCTGACAGTGACAGCTCCTCAGCATCTGGATCTTGATATAGGGCGCTAACTCTTGGTATGAGTAGTTCAGGTGGGCTCTTATCATCGTGCTATTTTCCTCGGGCACATGTTGCATATTAGGTCTAAGCAATTTCAGTGAATTCCGTCAATGCTTATCACTTGCTGAGAATACGATCTACAGAGTTTGGTCTTGTAATTACTATTGATTAATTACAAACCATGTTTGTTTTAGGAAGAGTTGGAACTTGGTTTATAATTTTTCGAAGCTGGGTTCGCATGGATGATTGGTCATTGTCTCTATTCCATGTAATGTACTGGATATCATATTTTAATTTTCTTCCTATATGCGAACCTTCGGTGTCAGCTTTTCCTGGTTAGATCTGGACTGGCCTTTATCTGCACTCGAAGTGGCTTATTACTTGAATTTGATTTTTTTTTATAAAATCTGATTGCTGTAGAGTGCTTCTACGTGGTGTTGTCTTTCCTTTCCAACATATCATACTTTGCAGCTAATGGGAAAAAGGTGTAGATATTGTAGTAGTTGCTGGAGTAATCATTTGATGTGAGGTGTTTCTGAAGTATTCTCTGACTGTTGCTAAATTTTCTGGTGCAGTTGGATGTCAAGAGGTTTAGGAGTAGGTGGCAGGTTCCCAATTCAAATGATTTGGTGTGTTTGAGGCCGTCAATGTCATTAGGGATCTGCATTGTGTGTACAGGCTCAAGATTGGCAATAGTTGTGCCATGGCTGGATAGTGGGTCTGGTTCTCACAAACTGTTGTCATGTCTGATTTCTTCAATCCACAAGTACCGTATTTTGTTGGGGGGTGAGAAAATTGTATAATATGTAGTAGCCAAATTGTGGTGATTGATTAGATGCGAGATTGGGTTGTTTCTGATGATGATATATCACACTGTACATGCCTAACTAGTGCAACTTCCCTGAGTTGTGGGGCCGTTTAATCTTGTGCCAGCAGAAAGGCAGATTCAGGATGCCTATATAAAGAAAAATTTAGCCTGCAGTTGAAGCTCATGTAGTTTGCTTTGCTTTTGAGAAAATAATGTTAGGGTTTGCCCAATCTTCGTGGGTAGCAGAACCAAGTCTGTGATTTTGTGGTGGATGGCCATTGGAAGAATGATAACGCAGTTGCGTTTGGCCATGTTCAATATAAATGATTGAAGGCACCATCTTGGGGGAAAGTAGTTGCGCATCGATAATGTTGAAGCCAAGACTGCCAGTGAAAGCAATAATGCAAAAATCATTTCGGACGCCACTTTCCAGCCCACGATGCTTCCCTCTTCCAGTTCCGCGGCGGGTATCCTTCTCCACTTCCTTTCCCTCTGATTTCTCTCCATGGTCAGGCCTCCAATCCTGGAGACGAGCTCCGCTTAACGAGGATCGATTCTGGGGACCGAACGGCCCCAAGCCGCTTCTCCCTTCAGACAACGACGGCGATGATATCCCTTTTGCTTCAGCCGTGGCTTCCGCATCGTCACTCGCCGAGCTTGGTGCTATTGTCCTCTCCACCGCCGACCCACTCGCCAAGTCCAAGCTTTCTCACCGTGCTTTCTCCCGGTGGGCTGATGAAGGCCTGCCGATTGGTTGCCACACCCCGCCGGACCGCCCTGCCCGCCCACCACAACCTCAGCTGGTCTCTCCCAAGGAGATCCCGGCTCCGCGTGACTCCGGGCTGCCCCTCAACGCTTACATGCTTCACAGTCTAGCTCACGTCGAGCTCAATGCCATCGATTTGGCGTGGGATACCGTTGTTCGGTTTTCTTCCTTCGCTAAGATTCTGGGGCAAGGCTTCTTCGCCGACTTTGCGCACGTTGCTGACGATGAGAGCCGCCACTTCGCCTGGTGCTCTCAGAGGCTTGCCGAGCTCGGTTACAAGTGAGATTCCTCACTGCCACATGCACTTTATTTCTTGTTCTTGGGCGGGTTCGAAGATGAAACCTAATTTCTGTGATTTTAGGTATGGGGATATGCCAGCTCATAATCTGCTGTGGAGGGAATGTGAAAGATCCTCCGATGATGTTGCTGCAAGACTGGCTGTCATCCCCCTTGTGCAGGTTTCTTCTTTCAGTAAATTATAACAATGCTCTATGTTCAATAGGATTGTTTGAATCAGTGGCCTTTGTTCTTTCCCCTGCATTCACCTCTTATCCGAGTACTTGATCGTTTCTACTGGGGTTGAGCCAGAATCTCTTTTCCCGGAAATGAGAAAGTTTTGTATTAAGGGTTGTTTGGTTCTGCTGGAGTAAAGCATATGAATGAAGTGGCTTATGCAAGTTCTTCAACAATGTTCATGAAACACCATATCCTGTATTTGTAACTGGAAATTCGTCTCTCTTGAAGAAGAACCATAAGTACTTGGAAGAGTTGTCGTGTGTCCAGTTGATTGCCACCGTTTCAAGCATCCTCTGTAATTGTGGGAGAAAGCTGACGCGGAAATTCCTATTTCTGCAATTGTCCTAGGAAAGATAAGCCTGGGGATGTGGTGGGTCGAGCTTGTGCATATATGAATATTACTGCTCCGCAGTCACTCTTGACGACATGTTTGAGCTAGTCACCTTTCTACTTCTCTGCAAACATATTGGTGAAGGTAATAATTTTGCGTTTCTGTTGGTATCGATGCTAGGAGGCTAGAGGACTTGATGCTGGGCCTAGGCTTGTGCAGAGATTGGTCGGTTTTGGGGACAACCAGACATCGAAGATTGTGGCTAGGATTGCAGAGGAGGAAGTTGCTCATGTAGCCGTTGGGGTTTACTGGTTTGTTTCTGTTTGCCAGAAATTGAACCGTCCCCCTTCCTCCACTTTCAAAGGTATACACACCCCTGCAACCCTTATGAGAAATGGTGTGCTTTGTACATAAGCTTCCATAGTAAGAAAGATGGCACATCTAAAGCATTTAAGAATATGAATTCCATTTCTTGGTATGAACGCAGAGTTGTTAAAGGAGTATAATGTTGAACTGAAAGGGCCTTTCAACTATTCAGCTAGAGACGAAGCTGGGATTCCCCGTGACTGGTACACCAAGTAATCCATTATTGATTCTTCACGATGAAGCTGCGAATAGAATCGTTTCAAACATATATTTTTGCCTTGTGGACTTGTACAGGTACGATGCGTCATATGCAAGTAAACAGGGCCAGAGTGAAAAACATAATTCAAATGAGCAGCTCGCTGTGGTATGTTTATGGGTGGCTTCTATGCTTTCTTCTGCTATCTTTTCGAGTTGCATGGAAAACGCAATTTTAATCCTTGCCAACCATCCCCCAGGTTTATGAGAGGCTTGCTTCCATTGTAGCCATGGAATGCCAGAATGCAGACCTGGATGGTCAGCGTGGGTGATTGGTTAGATAAAAAAAAAGAAAAAGCAGCTTCCAATCTGAAAATTGGCTGATCCAAAACATCGACTCATGTTTGCTGGGTTTGGAAACTAGTAGAACTAGAACCACCGAGAATTTTGTTAAGTGGTGGTCTCTGTGTATTTCCCACAGTAAATCTTTAGCTGATGCAGCCGGTGTTTCATCATGTGTAAGTAGTATGAAAAGTTTGGTCGTGTTTTATGGCTCGTTACAACGTCACGGGGGTAGGCAGCGCCGCAGAGGCCTCGTTTATGTATATTTGTTAACTGTCATGGTTGTCAACTTCATGCAGGTCCATGTAGCTAGGGTGCGAATTGGTTCTGTCGGTTAATTATTAAACGATTTGACGGTTAGTGGTTAGTTACCAAACATAAAATGTATACTGAAAATTGTAGTGGTTAGTTTGACGATTAACTACTTGTTGTCTGTTCAGTTAACGGTTAGTTTGAAGATTAGTTAGTATTCGTAATGGCAAATACGAGCGCATAATTCTAGATAGTATGTTTTCATAACTTTCTGTGATGTTTAAATATGCTTAACTCATTGTAAGTTATAATGGTGAAGATTTGTTAGCAGTATTCAAGGAAAACTATTTCCTAGGAGATACTACCATTTAGTTGTTGGAAACCAGTCATCGTAGTATGGCATTTCTAGTTTTTTATTTTTATTTTTTATAAACGGCCTGTTTTGTTTCATATTTTCCTTAGTGGGAAATAATAAAGGAGTTCATAAGAAGTTGAGACACAAAGAAAATCGGGGGTCATAGAGCACAACTCTTACGCTAGTCCCAACTATAGGTGGTGTGGGCCATAATGTGGACTACCTGGTCTCTAGTTCGATTTAAGAATCCCCCGACAATCCGTCTTGATCTCTCATGAAAAGAAACCATTCTCCTCCGCCACGACATTGATCTTAAACTTTGTTGTTGCTGGTGATATCCATCTGTATTCATGCTTTGGATTCTCCGCAGCTCGAGCTTTTTGATAATTTAGGTATTCCAAAAACAATCATTCTGCTTTGCCCGTTATCTCAAGTTTCTCCAATTTTTTCTTATTTCACAACCGACCGTTATGCATGGACCAACGTTTGTGGGATGGCGGTTTGGGCCTCTTCCAACCTTCCGATTTTTCTCCAGGAGACTTCTCTTGGGATTAAACGACTCCATCTTGATCCAATATTTGATGCAAATTTACCTCGATTATATTTTATCTTGAAAAGCACAAAGTAGTACCATAAAGGCAAAAATCAATACAAAACGCAACCAATGTCTAAAATAAGCACGTTGACCAAATAATTACAAAATTGATAGAATATATAACAAAACTACTAAAGATACATTGTTATTAAGTGGAATGTATCAAATATAGGACCTTGAGAACACTATAATTTTAGTGTTATCACCTGTTGTAGTGGTCTTGTTGAATAGAAAGTTTTAGTTTGATGGCCACTAACTAGTATCGAGTAAGAGACAGTAGAAACACAATTCATTATCATGGCCACCCATATATTTGCAAACCCTAGTTTCTTCATCATAGCTTCCAAAAACGGCCAATATACTCTGTCATAGGCTTTGGCAATGTCTAGGTTCGCTGACAAATAACCTTTATTTTCCCGAGTTCGTTCCTTCATTGAATGAAAACACTCAAAACCCACCATAACGTTATCAATAACGAGTCTGATAGCTACAAAGGAACTCTGGAACTCCGATATAACTTCATTTTGAATTCTTTTAGTCTATTTGCAAGCACTTTAGACAATATTTTATATAACACCTTGCATAGCCTTATAGGACTGAAGTCAATTGGAAATTCCACCAATATCTTCTAAGTATTAGAGCCAATAGGGTATGGTTGAGGGATTGAGGGATCGAGGGAAACAACCTGTATCCAAAGAATGAGTAACAAAAGCGAAAGGAAGAAAAAGAAGTGAAAAATGCAATAAAGGGGGCAAATAAGAATAGAGAGTTGCCACAAGATGTTTATGCTCTAGCAAAGAAGGTTTGCTTTGAATGTTGTTCATGATTGGTTGTGTTTTGGGATTGGTGGAATGTTTGGCTAATGGTTGTTGTGAGTGGATTTGTGTTGCTTTGATAGGTTCTAGATGAATTATGGAACCTCATGCTTTATGTGCCACCACCCAAGAAGTCTTTTCCCCATGTTGACCCTAGCAACTCACCTGAACCCATGTCTAAGACCTTCGGAGCTCTAGAATTTAGAGGTTATTGTCATGGTGAAGAGACGATAGGGATGAGTGTTGAGTATGCACATCTTTTGCATCAAATGGTCCAGTCCTCACCGGTCGAGAGTGAGTGATTCATTCATTCATTCATTTCTTGTTCATATATTCCTTGGTGAGGACCTACTTTGCTCATTCGTTTGTTCATATGACGTGATCTTTATACATGGATAATTGTGGTTGGAGAGTTGTCATTACAAGATATGTGTTGGTTTGTGAACAGAGTGATAACTTTTCGCTTGCACGTTCTTAATGCATTCGAATGTAATTTGTGGTGGTTGCCAGGATTGCTTGTTATTGTCCTTATGTCGGTGCCAAATAGACATTGAGATCCATCCACTTTGTGCCCTTTGACATGTCCCCAAGTTATTATGTTTAGGTTGAAATATTACCTTGTTTGAGATTGGTTTGCTTGGGGACAAGCAAACGTCCAAGTGTGGGGGAGTTTGATTCGGGCTTAATCACGCATGTTTTCACCCCATATTCTTGTGATATATGAGGCGTTTACATCACCCGAGGTTCAATTTTAAGCTAGGTTGTGCATGTTTTTAGCATGTTTCAGGTCTTAGCAGGTGGAATTAATCTCGGGAGCGAGAGTAGAGCAAAAGAGGGCAAAAGTGGAACAAGATTGACAGAAACCTAGAGATCACGTACAACGCCCTATTATGACGGGTGGGAGACCGTGAAGAGTTAACTTAGACCGTGAAGATCGACGGGATCCAAGAGCTTTTGCATGCCTCACGGGAAAGTCAAAGATCACAGGCACCAGACCGTGACAATTCCGCCCCAGCCGTGAAGTTTCTAAATGAAACACCGCATTTTTGCTTGGGATCACGGGCAGGCTACCAAGATTATGGGCGTGATAATCGACCATGACAATCGCCTGACTGGAGTATAAAAGGAGGAGTGAGTTGAAACCAAGGGGAGAAAAAATTTGGGAGTGAGATTGGCTTCTTCTTCTTGAGATAGAGAGAGAAAGTCACGAACCAAAGGAGGAAGGAGTTCTTGACCTACCCAAGACTTGAAGAGAGGAGATCTCTCCTCCAAGGAGGCAATCCAAGCACCTAAGGTTGAAGAGAAGCATCTTACCATGGGTTTTCTCTTCTTCTTTGTTGTATTCCTCTTCTTAGTCATGGAGTAGTTCTCCAATTCACTTGGGTATTGTGAACCGTAGTATAGAAATGAGATAGGTTGTATGAATTGAATGCTATGTGTGTGGGTTTTTGTGTAATAAAATATTTGAGGTATTTTTCATGATTCTTGAGTGGTGTTCATCATATTTGATTTGGGTCCAAATGCACACATTTGACCCCTCATTTCTTGATAGTTTGACTTTGCATTTCATTGTCTCTCGACCTATTTTACGCTAGGGTGTGCTTGTTTTGTCATATTTCAGGTCCTAGCACGTGTGATAAGGTCGAGGACAAGTTTCAGGTCGATTGGAGGTCGAAAAGCGCGAAAAAGTGCAAAAGTCCAAAGACAATTGCCCTGAGACTGTGAAGTGCGGAGGTTCTAGCACAGTTTTCGGTCTCAATGGACTCAAGCCAGTTCACGGTAGTAAGATCATGAACTGAAGCCAATGACCATGCACTGAGTTAGTGAAGCGAAGGATTTTGGCCCGAGATCACGGTCCCCGCCTTGAGTTCACGGCTATGAACTGGGACTGTGATTTGAGCCCGATCTGGGTATAAAAGGGGCAGTGAGCTGAAGGAGAAAGGGGGCTTTTTCTAGGGTTTTAGTTTTCAGAATAAAGGAGGGTTTCTAGTGAGAGATTAGGATTTCCTCTTCCTATTCTAGAGAGAGAAAGTTTCATTCAAAGAAGGAAGAAGGAGATTGGGCTTGCCCTTAGCTAGAGAGTGAAGATTCTTACCTCTCAAGGGAGATTCAAGCAAGAAGGAAGAAGGATTGTCATCTCTTCATGGTTCTTTCTCTCATTTTTCTTGTTTTCCTTTGCCTAGCTATGGAACAGCCTACCTATTCACTTAGGTGTTGTGAACCCTAGCTTGAACTATGTGATATATTGTATGGATTGCTGATTTGTGTGTGGTTGTGTTTAATGTGAATGTGGAGGTATTATTCATGAATGATTGTGTTGTGTGAAAACCTATCAATCTAATTGCCATTCTAACCTAGGTAGAGAGAAAACCCCTTCCTTTCTTTGAAAGAGGCTTGAATGTTGGGTTTTCTTAGGCGATTCGTTGTCTCCTATCTAGGTTAATGGAGGGCAAACCTCTTATTTCGTATTACCACCTAGGGTTTGGTTTTGCGTGGCCGTCCGAACTCCGATTTGATGATGAATTCTAACCAACCCTTAGTCAATAGGTCAAGAGAGTCACGTTGGTGGCTTGGATCAAATTTCCTTCCCTCGACCTAGAGACCAAGAGAGTGGTACTTGGCTACTTGTTGCACTTCCCTACGGTTTACAACCCCTCACCACACGCGATCATTCGATCCAACAAGTCGTAATTGTTAGCTAGTGGGAGCAATACCCGGGTGAACTCTTCTCTCATTGGGACAACCTCGATTTACTTTACTTGCTTGTTTGCATTTGTAGGTTTCTTAAAAAATGTTTGCTAGATAAAAAACTAAGCGATTGAAGTAGGGGTACATGGACCGGCCCAGGTTTGACAATTAAAACATACTTGCCCTATACTGCACCCGGCTAGAGTTTATGCTTGAGCTCTAGTCATGATTAATTCGTGGTGTATCTATGGTGCGTCAATATCTCAAAGTTAGGTCAAATTGGCATAGGTGGAGGAAATCCCCATTTGGGCCTTAAGAAGCTAGATTTCTTGACCAATTGGGTAATCCCATCCAGAGTGGTAGAGGGTAAGCCTCAAACATATGATTAGTGCCATAAACCTATCATGATTGGTTACTTTTCCACCGTTCCGGATTAGTATCCGAGGGAGTGGTCTTAGCAATCATTAGTCGATTAGTCAAGAGAGCTAGTCTCCTAGCTTATGTCGACATTCCTTGATTAATTGTCGACGAGAGTGGGGTTTCCCCAATAGTTGCAACCTCCTCACGGTTTATGATCACACCTTTCCACACTAGCATTCCATTCGGTTAACCTTCATACGAGACTAGAGGGAGCAATACCCGGGTGAAGCTTTCTCACATCGAGTTCATCGCAATTTACTTTCTTTGCTTGCTTTCAGCTGTAGTTCTTTAGCTTTAACTCCAAACCGTTAGCTAGATAAAAATTCAAATGATTGAAGTAGGAGTACATGGACCTCCTCGGGTTAACATTTAAAACACTTGCCTTATACTACACCCAACTAGAGTTTGCACTTGGGCTTTAGTCGTGATTTAATTGTGCAGTTAGGAACGAGTCATTCAAAAAGAAAAAACCAAAACAATATAAATATGTCCAAATCATGAGAACAGGTAAATTGTCCATCAAATAGATCGATTGAGTGGGTATAATGATATATTGAAGTACTTATAAAAGGAATCGCCAATTATGTGGTCTCGCACTACATCATCTTACTGTAATCAAGATATTAACGTACCCTAACGTGACATGTTACAAGTAATTTAGTTACCACCTAATTTGAGATGATTTCAAAAAAGTTAGAGGATTTCATTTATTAGTGGAAACAAAATTTCCTCGTCGTACTCCAGAAAGAAAAATGGAATGTCCATATCATTAGATCATGCGAATTTTATAATCACACATATAAAAGATCATAATTTGGATAATATTCATCATCAAACAATGACTTTGTTTATTTTTCAACAGTTTAATCCTGAGAATGATGTTACATATATCATCTAAACTTCATCATCATATTATTCACTCATTAACTTCATGAAAATTGTGAAATCAATACATTCTTTTCAAGTGACAAACTAGAAGGTGCGTCTGTTATACTACCTCTCACAACATCAAGTAGAAATTATTGTAATTCGATGCTTCCAAAATGTTGATAGATTTCATCATGAGGAAGACACATTACAAATACAAAAATAGAATTGACACATGCTGACACAACACAAAGTTGTTGCTTCACGTGATCATGTCACTGAATCCGATTTTATTCGGGATAGCTTCTTCCTTGTTCCCCCTGTATTGTACCATTTCATGTTTTTATAGAACTTGATACCACCAAGTAACAATACTGTTTTGTGTCCACACATTTCCTCCCCAAGTATATATATCAGCAAGGATCTGCATCCTCTGGGTATTGTTTTCTTTCATCCTCATCTATACTTCAAAACTTTGAAGCTCATTTTTCAGAGTCTGTGTTGCAGTTCATATCCTGTTACAAATGTAAACCAAAACAGTTGCCATGAGCATCTATCCACGGCCAGCATAACATGCAAAAGATACAAAGATTAAGTAGATATAGGTTTTTCCCTTACAATTTTCACAACCACACAGTGGTCAGCTAGCTGATACCCTTCGTTCTTGCTACCCCATTTCTCAGCAGGGCTTCTATCAAGTGCTCTTTCAATTGCCTTGTTGGCCTGCAAAATATAAAGCCAAACAAGCAAGGGAATCAATCAAACCCCATAATCACATTTAAGGAAAGTAGTGGAGAGAAGACTATGTATATATAATGCAGCAACTGACCTCTTTTTCCCAATCTGTGCGACATGTTATCACAATTAACAAAATGTTCTGCAAAAGTGAACCAATTTGAATCCCGATCCATAGTCCTGGCCCCCTCAATTGCATCCAGAACCCCAGGATGGCTGAAAGGGGAACTCCACAAATGTAGTATGCCGTGAGATTGACATAAGCACCCAGGTTTTGCCAACCGCATCCCCTAGCAACCCCTGACAGTGTCACCCGAACACTGTCTAGTATGACAGATAAACATATCAAAGGAGCCATTGTTGTCACATATTCTACAACTTCCTCATCATTGCTGAAAACATGGCCCAATACATGTCTGCAAGCGTACATCACTGAGCTTACCGTCAGTGCTAGGGCACACGCGAGGAACACTGAAGCGCTCACTGACACACATGCTGCTCCAGGGTTCCCGGCACCCAATTCGTTGGATACTCTTGTGCTAAAAACAGTGTGTAAAGGAACAAATTAACAGAACAAGGTAGGTTCAGTGAGAAGGCTTGGAGTTGGTGATGCATTTAACTGAAAGTACAAACCTTGCTGCGGCCCCAATGCCTTCAGGTATCGTATAGACTGTCGCCATGGTTGCTAGGCTGTCAAGAGATACCGTCCAAACAAATGAGATGCCACGAAGTCTCTCAAACTATTTGCAGCCATGATTAGAATTGCATTACCATAACGAGAGGACCGAGGTCTCAAGCTTAGGGTCCGGTAACAAGCCCGACATGAATATGAGTAACTCGAATGACCACCATTCTAGGCTGCACACCATAAAGAAGCATCACCATGGCCCTCAAGTGTAGGAGGCATTTTATCAAACATGTAGAATAGAAGAGAATTCAAATGCTTATAAGACCTTACCAAATCATTCCAGCAGAAGGAATTGCATAGCGGAAGAATTCCCCTACTCCTTGAATGAGCTCCATGGACAAGGGGACTCTGGTTTTGTCACACTCTGGGGAGAACATGTGGAGCGAGAGTAGAATGACGTTGAACCAATACGAAATCCCAATTGCAAAAGCAGCACCATGGCTACCAAGCCCTGCACCGAAGACTAATACCCAGCAGAGGATAATGTGAAAGCATAGGGTAAGAGTGGAGCTCGTGATCAAGGGATTCGTCAAACTCTGCATCTGGAAGTAGCGGACCAAGGCTTGCAACGTGGCGTAGGCGAAGAGTGCGGGAATCAAGCAAATTGCAAATTGTCCAGCCTCGTGGGAAATCAATGGGTTTTGGCCGATCAATAAGAGCAAATCCTCCATGTAAATCCACAACACTGATATTGGAACGCACACAAAATTGACAGAGAATACTGCCGTCTGGACTCGAACCCCAAATTGTCGGTACTGCTTGGCTCCGTAAGCTTGACCGCATAGTGTCTCCAAGGCACTTGCAATTCCACACTTGATAAGAAAAGGAACACGATAAATAGAGGGAAAACAATCGATGGGCAGAAATTGGGAGAACGAGAAATAATTTACGTACAGTGGGGCTAAAGCCCGTGACGCTGGCGAAAGAGATGGCGATGGCAGAGCTGGAAAGCGAGAGTTGATCTCCGATGTGACCCACCATTGTGAGCGATATGACTAGCAAGAAATACTGTGACAGATTGATAGTGATTAGAGGAGCGGCCAAGAAACGGAGGCTTTTCACTTCCGCCATGAATTCGTTGCAGGACCATCGGCGGTGGGATTTGCCCTCTTTGCTAATTTCTTTCGGGTTAGTGATTTCATTGTCGTTTTTTCCGCCGTTTTCACAAATGTGATTACCAAGGTGCGCATATTTGAGGGGGAGTGTTTCTTCCACGTTTTGATTTTCATCATTTGAAGCGAACGTCATCATCTTTTTTTTTTTCCAGCAATAGAGATGAGATTAATAATCAGTGAGAGATTGTGGAGAATGGGATTATGGAGAATGAATTGTGGTAATTGGATTTTCAGAGGGAGATCTGTGATCGATAGAGAATCCGAGCAGTAGCCTCACGGTGTTTGCGTGGGAATTTGGTGGTGCAGGCTTGGTTGGTGTCATTGCTAATATAGTAAAGTTGTAACACATAGCTAATAAACTGGGACGTTTATTGACCACTTCCCTTATAATACCTTTTCTAATTTCAAATGCGAGAGCTACCCTTTATTTTCCCAATTGCGCACTATAACTTAGTTAATTTTTGTTTGAGAGATATTCTTAGTTCACTAGCATTGACCCGCCCCATTGGCCGATGAATTTAACTGCGACTATTATTGTGATATTGCAGTATATAAGTACATCATATAAGTAAAGCAAGTCCTCAACATTGTGGCTGCCATGACACATCATCTATGACTTCTTTATTTCAAAATCGAGAACTAATTTGAATATATCTTTATTTGAAACTTAGATATCAGGTTAGACAAACAAAATTCATAGCATTGTGGCTGTTGCACCATATCTTTTGCCTTTAGTTATGCCCTTACCAATTTCCTCTTCCTTTTTTTATAATGGTGAAAATCAATCTCCTCTAACTAAGTTGTTGCAAAACCTGTATACCATGTAAGTTGGTTAATCTCGGTAGGTTAGAAGATCCAAAGTTCATAAATTTCAGTCAAACGATTAGGAAATTATCCCTACGACAAACCAACCTCATCATAACTGCAAGTTGGCAACACTCCAAGAATTAAATGTTGTGATACAACTTCTCTAGCTATTGCGGCAATAGAGTGAACTAATGGTGACATCTGCTTTTGCTTCCACCAAATTACAAATGGAGGAGCACGTATGTTAATGAAATAGTGCATGAAAAAAAAAAAAGATGGTTGGAACATAGAATGTTACTCCTAGGCGTTTCATATTAAGAGTTATATACTTCAAGACTTCATCGAACCTTCTCCCAGTTACTAACTTTGATGTGTTCAAATAGTCAGAAAATTTATCCTTAGACTCTTCTTGGAGCTTCGTGGTCCACATTTGTGCCTCACCAGAAATCTGAGTAGTTTTCTAGCCACTCTTAGCTAACCTTTCTTGAAATGGCGAGAAAGCAACCTCACAATCTTGCAATATCTGTTATCATCAATCACCAAAAAATTGATCCATAAAAAGCAATCTCCTAGCACTAGCAGGAAGACCTGAGGATCCCCGAAAAGATAATTATAACTAATAATGAACCAATCGGTCTCAGAAGCTTTTGCAATTTGGTCAATAATATAATTTAGGGGCGTATGGTAAAATTACTTAGCAAGAACATTCTTACAACAAGTGGAGGATACTTCTCACTAACCTGTTTAAGTTGAACTTAATTTGAGAGTCATCCTTCCAGGAAGAGGACACCAATTGCATGTAAAAAGAATGACATTTTACCCCTTTCGAAATTTGTAACTGTTAAAGTGATCACCCCGGCTTAGAGTAAAATCCTTTTCTTGTGTGCATGGAAAGCCAAGATATATAGGATCAAAGGGTGATTAATAATATGATGGAATGATTCCATGTGTGAGATAGAGTAATAAAAAGGATGCACACCAATTCCTAACTTTAACCATTGCAAGTATATCATTATTATGCTTGTAGTAAAGTTGCTCGGTCGTATTTTCAAGAGATCGCCAACACCCTAACTTACTATCGTTAGGTTGGACTATTATCTAATCGACAATTGTTTGTTGATGGTACTGAGAAACTACTAGCACTAGAAACAAAGAGGAGACGATACTCGGGACAAGTTACCCTCACCCTCACTAAATTGGGGTCAGTGCACTGGTCATGTTTCCCGACCCCACTCCCAACCACGTCCACCGACCTGTGATTCACTTCCCGATTCCGCTCATAGCGGAACTATAATTTCTATCAAAATCACACATCAATAAGTTTTACAAAGATTTATGTGGCATTCAGTTAAGTTGTCATTTCTTATGTTAACAAAAGCTGACAAACTTGACCTAATTTTGATCGCCCAACAAATCAACTTGAGCAACAATGCAATTTTCATTGTGTGATCCACTTACAGGTGGACAGGAAGGATGGTTTGGTTTTATTTCCATTATGCAATTAATAATGCTAAGTGGTTTGATAATTTTGGGTTCTCATCGATTAAGTTTTATACATATTTCCAAATGCTTTCATGTCTCGTCTCGTATCTCCCATCCACTTGATTTCTACCAGGAACTTAATACCAGTTTATAATTGAAAGGTGGATACGTTTCTTATAGGTAACCCCTGGACGGCCTTTCCCATTAAGACAAACTGGGAAGTGGGAACTCTGTTGTGTTTTCCTTAATACGGAGAAGCAGTTCACATTTGTGAAAACTAGCCATCAACTTTGGTTTTATGTTCAGTAGAGAGATCACATACCTAAACCCATTCTATACAAAACTAGCCATCTACTCTGCCCTTTGCCAGTAATCTAACCATATTTCAACCTGAAAATGGTTTTCTTTTACTGAAATCGACTCCTAACCAACCTTTCTTTCCCCCCCAGAAAAGTTGCAGGCTTTCTACTATGTTATCTTAAAATTTCTTCTGTATACCCATGGTGTTTTGATACATTCTCCTTTCAACTTGGCACGTATAGTCTCATTCTCAAACCTCAGGAGAAGCTTATATGGCCATTATTTCCTCCAACTTGAACAATTCCTGGAAGCTCTGCATATTTGGCAGCTTCATTGGCTGCTTTCTCACTTTGCTCTGTCTAGATTACCATGGCTACAGCAGCTTCGACATTGTTTCGGGTGTTTTACCATCCGGAAATCCCATCTTCGATAGATTCTTCAAGCCCTTGAAGCCATCCTGTGGAGAAGGAGGCTTTATTGTCAAGTATCCAACGTTGATGAGTGGCGACGATGAGGAAAAACAGGACTTTGTCGTTAATAATCAGACTTCCATGAGTACTGGTGATGATGAGGAAAAACAAAACATTGTTGTTAGTAATCAGACTTCCATCAGTACCGGTGATGAGGAAAAACCAGAGGTTGCTTTTATGAATCGGTTGTCGGAGGGTAGTAATGAGGAGGACAAACTCACCAAGAAGGAGAAGAAGAAGAAGAAGAACTTGTTTGACGGAAGATGGGTTTATGACCCAAATGGAAACCCTGATTACAGAGTGGAACAATGCCCATTTCTTAGCGGGCAAGTTAGCTGTCAGAGAAATGGAAGGCCTGATTCTCAGTACCAGAAGTGGAGCTGGCAGCCTGAGGGATACAGCAACTTCCCAAGGTTTAATGCCACTAACATGCTGGAATTGCTGAGGGGGAAGAGAGTGGTAATAGTTGGAGATTCTCTCAATAGAAACCAATGGGAGTCTCTGGCTTGCCTTCTCTACTCTGCTTTACCTCCATCAAGATGTCATGTGGGTGTTGTTCGCAGCGATTACAAGGTCTTTAAATCTCTTGTAAGTGCCCAGATCCAGTCTTTGTCTGTAGCAGACAATTGAACAACAAATTGAGGAGAAGGGTTATATATAATAAATTTGGTGATGGTGGTTGGTTGCTTCTGCACAGGATTACAATTGCTCTGTGGAGTTCTTCTGGAGTCCATTTTTGGTTCAGCTGGAAGAGTCGAGGGGCCCAAAACCCAGAAACAGAAGAAGAAGAATTCTGAAGCTGGACAAGATTTCAGCTTCAGCTCCACTCTGGCTAGGGGCAGATATCATGGTTTTCAACTCTGGACACTGGTGGACTCACCCTTGGAAAATCAGAGCGTAAGCTAGCTTTTCACCTTCTAATAATTGCTTTTCCGGTCTTTCTTTCGTGTTTTGGCTGCAAATGCAGAGGTCATACAACTATTTGCTGCAGGTGGGATTTCTTTGAGAACAATGGGAAGTTGGTGAAACAGATGGAGATAGAATCTGCGTTCCAGACGGCCGTTTCAACTTGGGCCAAATGGATCGATCACAATCTGAACTCTTCTTCTACCAAAACAAGTGTCTTCTTCAGGAGCATATCCCCAGAGCACAAAGTGCAAGGCTGCTCCAATTCCACAGAACCGCTCGATGGATCGTATGACGACACATTCCCTCATCAGCTGACTGATATCGTCACAAGAACCATTGACAGCATGAGGACACCAGTGAGGCTGCTCAATGTTACAAAGCTCTCGGGGTACAGAATCGACGCACATCCAGCAATCTATTCTCGCAAGCAGGACCAGACATTGATTCGCCCTGATTGCAGCCACTGGTGTTTGCCTGGACTGCCTGATACTTGGAACACCCTCATCTATGCAATGTTTACCTTGGACCGCCAAAACCAGAATTGAACTGTTTCTTCCTTCAAATACTACAAAATTCCAGAAATTTTGGGGTACTTGTCATCTCACGCAACTCGCATAGTTTAATCTTTTCATCCATCCTAAGAAATAGTCCCCTTCCCGTACCACTACGGCATTATTTGCATGCCTCCTACCTCAATATCAAAATCGATTGTACTCGTAACAGCTCAAGTGAAGCAAGTAAGAACATTTTCGAGCATGATTAACAAATAAAATTAGTAGCAGCAGCGATCTGCTGTTCTGAGAGCAGTGTTATTTAGCAACTCTAACAATACATTTCTACCTTCATTGTTTAATGGTGGCACAGCATAATATTAATCACCTTTTATATGTACACAAGTGGAGGCTGCATAAGCTCTGGAATTATGTTGCATACATGTATATTTTTGTGTGTACATAATAAATTGATATCTTGGTACCTAAATCACCTCCCATTCAGCTTCAAGGGCCTGGGATTTGGTAGCTTCCACAATGGTAGCACCTGATGAACTTATCCCAACAGACTTCAATTCTGCAAGCTTGTCATGTTGCTGCTTCCTCAATGCCCTTAAAACAGCCTTTATTCTCTTCTGGGAAATAGAATAATGTTTTGAGGTAAGCTACCATCAGAATACCTTTTGGTCATCTATCTCGGTAAGAAAAGGCTAACGAGCGATACCTTGTAAGGAAAACCTTTTCCCTTTGGCTGAGAAACAAAATCAAATTCATCTTCACTGACAACCTTGCATGTTTCCTCGAGCAATGCCGCATCAACTCGTTGAGTACTTTCCATTTCTCGATCAATACAACGGTCCTCAACAATCATGTCTATATCCCAGTCACTGGGCCTTCCTGAAATGGATCCACAAATAAATGAATGATCAACACGGCATCATACATGCTGGCCTCCCTCAAGTTTCTTTTTCTTTGACTTGAGTCCAAAACTATGTTGAGATATGCTTCGCTTGGGATCGGATTATTCATATTATTATTGTATACACGAAATTGATTTAAACTAATTGTTGAGCTAAAAATGATTGAAATAAGGAGTATAACACATCATAATAACTTTTGTCTGGATGATAGGATGAAATCCCAAAACTGAAAGCCATGAGCAAACCAAATATTTTAGTCCCCTGATGAACTTAAATTCAAACCACTTAGATTTGTTTCCCTCGTCTGCTAGACCAGAAGATACCGAATCCACGCACGTACCTGAATTAGAAGCGTAGTCCTCTGTATAAGCAAATCTCCTGGATAGTGCACTTGCATTTGTCGAGGACCCATCTATAGTTGTCGAATCAGATTCTAAAGCAGAACTGCAGAAAAGCTTATTGCAAAGCCGGAGAAATAAACTTACCCTCAGAGACATAGATGCCATTTGATTCTGCCAAAGGGTTATCAAAAGGAGGAAGTCCTGCATCCAAACACTCACAATTCCCTAGCTCTACGGCATTGGCTCTATCAAACACCATATCAACAGTTGAAGGAGCAAGCACCACTGCTTTTGGATCAACCACATCAGTTTTGCTTTCTTGAACAGGGTCATGCCCATAAATATGGAGAGAACCTGAACTTGCAAGTGTAGGTTGCTGATCAAATGATGCTTTGCGACTTATAGTTGAGGACTTACGTGGTGAAGAATTAGTAGCAGGATAGGCTAACCCTGACAATTCATCTTGACATGTTGACTCCCTCTTAGAGCTCTTGATGACCCCCAAATCTAACTTTCTTGACAGACTTCCTTTAGTAGATTTCCCTTGGACACCTCCCGCAGTGTCTCCTTGAAACAGAGGGAAAAGATTATCTACATGGCGAAGGAAGGCAGGTGGAAGATCTGGACTTTTGACACCGACGCTTTTCAAAGGCTCACTCAACTGCCCCTTATCATGAACCTTATGATGATTGTTCCTCACAGTTGCTTTGGGCATCAAGAATATCCCCAGATCAGGGTACACTTCTTCAGCCCTACCACAACCAGTCCCTTTTGCAGGATCTTCCGAGCCTGAGGGTAACAAATCCTGCATGACATCTGCATATAACTTCTTCATGCTAACACCAACTGTCTGCACTTGATTCTCAACAAATCTAACAGTGTCCTGTTCCAGCAAACAAAAACAAAAAGTTGGGGAGACCCAACTTAAAACTACAGCTCCTACACTATTATGGAACAAGTAACGTTGACAGATTGCTCATTCCATTAATTGTGTAGAAAGGACTCCTGAATCAAATATTTTTCCCGCTAGAGCATCATAATTTACACTGAACATCTTGATTAAATGGAAGCTCACGGTAATTTTGATTTAAAGATTTCAGAGCAAGTGACCATAAAATCAAATGGAGCGAGCACATACCTCATACATAATTTCTTCCACTTCCAAACAGATATCTTCGAACTTCTGATAGGCATCTCCAACCCAGGTGATGCCTTTCAGATCCATCTTGAGCACACTCTAACCGAGGAATCTGCTTAGCTGTTTAGCTAGACGGCACAATATGGTGAGATCCTAATCACTTCCAATTGGTTCTGCAAGACAAACTTCATTAAGTTCTCCACAAGAAAGTGAAAACAGTAATCCCTAGAAAATGTTAGGCTCATATCTTCAACAGGCATTAGCTAAGAAGATGTAAGATACGGGTCCCTAGAAGAGTAGAGTTCTCCAAATGAAGTCAAGGAGCAAAACCCCAAAAGAAAGCTACAGTATAACACAGGAACATGCAATTTACTACGAGGAGATGTTCGTATATAAGTTACGGGACTTTCACCAACTGAGCACCCAACACAGCTCCTAAGAAGAACTAAGAAGAGCAGCAGAATGCAGAACCCTAAAGAAATTTCTATATCGAGAAAATTCCCGGCGATAAACCCACAACAAGGGGAAGCCCCAAAAAGCGACCAACTTCTATAAACCATAGAAATGAAAACAACTCTGGGCTGCTGTCAAAAGAACCCAGAGAAAGCAAACCTGGTCAAGAAGGTCATCCAACTTAGCAGGCAAACGACAACAATAGCAGATTATGCGGATGGAAAAAGTACCCGCTAACTTTGACAAGCAAGGGCAGGGCGGAGATGGGAGGAGCACTTGCCTTACGATAGAGACGACACCGCGACGGGAAACGGAGGTCTGAAAGAGCGAAAAGAAGACAGACGGTTTCTGATGATGGGCCACGGAAATTGCCGGTGCGATAACTTAACAAATAATAAAGCTGAGGGCTCATCCAAAAAGAGATAATAAGGCTGAGGGGAAGAAGGTCGACAACAAGCAGAGCTTTCAGGCAATTAGTACAAGGAAATGCCACAATAGAAAAAGCCCGAGGAAAGCAAACGAAAAGAAACGAAAGAAAGCGAATCATACAAAAGCAGAAGCCAAGTGGAGGAAGGGTAGAAGGAAAACGAAATACAGAAAACAGAACAAGAGAGACGTGACGTACATCGGCCTGTCGTTTGCCACGTACGAGAAGAAACCTCTCACAAAATGAAGATTCATGTTGCAAAGCAAGCTCCTCCTAAAAAACAAAAATGGTTGCAAAGCAAAATGAATATTATTTTGTAAAGTACAACAAACTCGTTTCATCTATATAAAAAAAAAGATATCCGAATTAAAATGAAGAAAATATGATCCAATCAAGAAAATTAGGGAAAATAAATTCCTTTAATTCTCTACCCTTAGATCTGCAGCCACCTAAAAGAAGGATCCAGATTTGGTTACTCATAGTTTTTTTTTTTTTTTTTTTGATAAAGGTGAAGATAAATTAAGCCAAAAAAGGATAGTACCATTACAAGGGAGGAACACAAAAGACAACGAAAGTAACACAAGGATCAAACACACTTGATCCGAAAAGACAGAACAAGAACAAGGGAAGGAAAAACAACCAAACCAGCCAAGCCGCTAATGGGACCAGACCCATCCTACAGAGCAGAGGCAAGCAAAGAAAGAGGCAAAAGAAGGAAAAAGAAGAGCTAATGGGACCAGACCCATTCTGCGAAGCAAGGCACACGGAGGCAACCAGAGGCAGACGGCCGCGCCCCACAACGGCCTCAGCAAGAGCAAAAGAGCTAACCAGAGAAGTCAGCCCTGTCACATTTACCAGCAGCAACCAGCCACTCCGCGACGTGACTATAGGTGTCAAAACATGACCCGACCCGAGTAACCCGCCCAACCAACCCGATCCGCGACCCGCTCGCAACCCGATTGGACTAAAAGTCAATGACCCGCAACCCGCCCGACCCGTAACCCGCTTGACCCGCAACCCGCTTAACCCGCAACCCGCTTGACCCGCAACCCGCTTGACCCGCAACCCGATTGACCCGCAACCCGCTTGACCCGCAACCCGCTTGACCCACAACCCGCTAGACCCGTAACCCGACTAACCCGAACCCGATTAACCCAACCCGAACCCGCCCGATTGGCACGAATAATACTACATAATATATTTTTGTGCATAAATATTATATGTAGATAATATATATATAAAGTTTATGTGACTTACCCTATAGATAAGTAGAAATCCTAGGTGGGTTGTCAACATTTTTTACATTTAGTTGATGTATATAAATAATATATATATATAGATAACACATACATATGAAAAACATGATTGACTTAATTAAGCCAATCATATACCAGTACCTAATAATTACAACATTTTTTCTTCCACACATAATATAACTGGTCACATAACATTGTCAAAATATTAACCTAGCATACGAAGATTCATAATAGTACATAAGTCATAACTCATATCCTAGCCCCAATAATAAGAAGATACATAATAGTTTGCTTACTAAGTTATACCATATAAAAAATAGTAGGATACAAATACATAGCTGACATTATCACATCTTACATACCAACAAAATAGGTTCACAAATTAAAATGATAATTCACTTGGCGATCAATCAACAAGCTTCACTTCTTCTCCATCTTTAAAATTTATTTTATGTCAACGTATACATAAATTCACTTAATGTATAGCATAGTTAGTAAATATACGGTACGGGAAAGTTACGTATAAAATACTTACGGGTATTATATTTTTATCTTAGTTATAAATATATACTACTAATTACTTTTATATACGGATATTAAACGTGTTATTAAACGGAGTATTCACTCTAACTATGATGTATAAGGTATACGGTAGTGGACTTGTGGTTTAGAGTTCGGAAGATTAGGATTTAGGACGTATGTTTTTCTCAATAATTGAATAAAAAATTGACTTAACTAACATTCTTCACATATCATACGTTATAATTTATACTTTATACCAACAATTTCATAACACATAACTATAGTTCATGGTTTAAGGTTAGTGTTTAGGGTATACGGTAGTGAACTCGTGGTTTAGAGTTTGGAGTCATAAGAGTTAAGACGTATGTTCTTCTCAATAACCGAATATAAAATTGACTCGACTTACATTCTTCACATAACATATGTTATAGCTTATACTAACAATTTCATAACATATAACTATAGTATAGGCCATAGGGTTTAGGGTTAGGGTTTAGGGTTTAGGGTTAGGGTTTAGGGTTAGGGTCTAGGGTTTATTCATGGTTATGCTTTATGTTGGATATTTTGATTTTTATAGTTTATTAATTAATTTGATTTTAACAATTAGTTTAACTTGTGAATGTACATCTTAAATATATCATATTCAAATGACATTCCGACCAACGAATCGAACAACAAACTAGTTAATCGGTATAAAATTTACCATCTATAATAATAAATATCAAAGAAAGAAAGAACTAGATGTTTATGGAAATTTTTTGAATGCAAAATTCAAAACCCCCAAATATTTGCTCAAAAATTCCCTCCCATAAACCCCCTTCTCCCAATAGTTGATCAAAAATTGAAAATTCCCTCCCACCCCCCATTATTTTATCCAAAATTCAAATTCCCCCATCCCCACCTAATTTTTCGTGAAAACAAATATTATTAACAATATATTTTTTTTAATCAATTGAGAAGGGAAAAATCGGTGGTCTTCGGAAAAAATATCTGTCTCCTACTAATAAATTAATAATGAAGGATCGATTAAAAAAAAAAAAGAAAAACACAAAATCGGTCGTCGCCTTCTCTCCCTATCTCGGCCACTTTCCCTAATTCCCTTATCCTTTCTGCGCCTCTCTCTCAAATCTCAATCAGGAACAAAAAAGCCTCCCTTCTCCTTCTCCTTACCCTCCGCCGCCTCGTTGTCGTCGCCGTTGAAATCAAGAAGCAGAGGAAGCGGAAGAAGAACAAGAAGCAGAGGAAGCAGCAGTCGCGGTCGGCGTGGTCGCGGCGGAAGAGGCTGGGTTTTCCCCTCGTCATTCTCAGGTACGTGTCTCCCGCTCTCGGCTCTTCATTCTGTAACAAAGCAAAAAGATAAAGAAAAGAACCAGAAGATTTGTTATTTGGCTGGATGGAAAATTCAGCAGCAAGGGTTTGATTTTGTCGTCTGTGTTGGTAAGGCTACTGGAGTTCCAAACTGATAACCCAAACCTACCGTCTTCTCGTTGTCCCTCCAAACAGAACATGGTATTTGCGATTCTTATATACTCGCTATGATGTGCTTGCCGAAAAGTTAGATTTATGAACCAATCAACAACAGTCCTCTTCGTTGGTCATCCAATTTTTATTTAACTTGGTTCATCACAATATGCATTCCTTTGTCCACATTTCCTCCTATCTTCTTCTCATAACTGCTGGTATTGTTTAGGTAAAGTCCTAATCTCTGCGGTTAATTAAGGATGCTGTCTTTTGCTATGATGTTTGCCATGTTTTGTTTTATTGATAAACGAATTTTGATTACTTTTGTTTCATGATCGGCAACAAAACATATCTATCACTCAAGACTTACTAATTTGTGGATCATGTTACTTCCGATGTGATGAAGGCTACGCTATAGCCCATATCATGTCCTTTGATCCAAGGTTCTTTTATTTTATAGGAACATAAACGTTGAGTTGTAAGGATCAATTTAGGTAGGACACCTGCTGCTGCTCTTCTATGGCATATTAATTTAGGTAGGACACCATCTAAGAGATGTCCCTGTATGTTCATTTGTAGAGTTATTGTGGGTTTGATGATTCAGGTTCGAATTGATCATTATTAATTGTTGTATGTGTTTAGGATTGTCCATTTAGCTATTTTCGGAGACGTCCTTTTGTTAATTGGAGTTGGTTAAATCTATCCCTTTTGAGATATTTCAACACAAAAAGGTATCAATGCTTGATTGCTCCTTCATTCCTTGTTTGTCTTTTTTATTTGAACAGCTCAATCCTGACTTTCCTTTTCTTCCAACATTGGGAAGATTGCGAATGGTTGGATATTGATGAGAATTGGGATGAAGCAAATATTATTGGCAGCTATGTTAATTAGTTTGGGGAAGAAGGGTGGTTTACAGAGAAGGGAAAGAAGAATCAGAAGGATTTACCGATCCAACAATCAATAAATTTAGTAATCGTTTCCTTTTTTTACTATTAGCTAATTTAATTAGCTAGCCAAGACGATTCACTACTAAATCATGATTCACCCCTAGATGAAATTTCAGTAGTCATGTTATTGTGTTTGTTGTTTCTTGTTTGTTTGATCGATTATGTAATTCTTTTCTTTTCGTTTCTTTTTTTCATAAGCAATGGACGCCAGGGCTAGAAGAAGCAAAATTTGGGAGAATTCACTCAAGTTGAATCAGAGGGGGAGGTCAAGCTTCAATGCAACCATTGCATGAAGGTTTTTGGATGTTATCCTAATAAGAATGGGACAGTTTCACTGTGGAGGCATCTTAAGATGTGCAGTAAGAGAAATCTTCAAGATTAATGAAGCCTTATGTACTTTTCTGTATTTCATTCTATTGTATTTGCTTAAACATCATGTAATGGTCTCAACTATTAAGACTCAAGAGATTGTTTCATTGGTTTATGATCAAGCAAGTTGTCAGCTTTTTAATTTCTTATGTTGGTTTTGTAACCTTAATGAATCCTTTGCAACATCAAACTTGTTTATGATATATTGAAGCAAAATCTAGTCACTCATTTGTTTAATAATGTATCTTCATGTTTTTTTTCATTGCAATATAGTGATCGATGAGTTTTTTTTAAATTAGTGTAGTAACTAATTATTAAAAAAACTCGATGGTTTGGACCGAACAACCCGCAACCCGACCTGTTGTAACCCGCAACCCGATCAACCCGAACCCGATTGATCCGCAACCCGATCAACCCGTAACCCGATCGACCCGCAACCCGATCAACCCGAACCTGATCAACCCGCAACCCGATCAACCCGAACCCGATCAACCCGAACCCGATCAAACCGAACCCGATCAACCCGCAACCCGCTTGACCCGCAACCCGATTAACCCGCAACCCGACTGAACCCGACCCGAACCCGCCCGAACCCGCCCGATTGACACCTATAGACGTGACGGGTAATCCTGCGCGACACAACAGCGGCTCTATGAGTTTCATTCTTAAAGACTCTGCTGTTCCTTTCATTCCAGATCATCCAGCAGGCAGCATGAAACACACAATACGCCACCCAATTCACATTGTCCTCCGGGACAGATGAAGGCCAGCATCTTACAGAGGCTTCCAAACTGACAGAAGGCAACCTGAGAAGTCTGCACCTGCTGCCTATATCGTTCCACACCTCGCGGGTAAAAGCACAATGCACAAGCAAATGATCAATCGACTCCTCATCAGCCCGGCATAACTCACAACGATTCACAAGGGCAAGACCTCTTCTTTTCAGATTGTCAATGGTGAGAATTTTTGCGTGGAATGCACACCAGATGAAGAAGTTGATTTTGAGCGGCACAACTTTCCTCCAAACCGAGGTAGCTGGAAAGCTCTGAACTCCTTGATGCTTCAGCTTAGATAGATTCCTGTACAGAGAGCAAACGGTAAAGGACGCACTGCCCTCAAGAGACCAAGACACCCTACAAGGGCCATTAAGAGCAGTCCGAGACACAATGGAATGCAGCAAAGACTCAAGATTCTCTCTCTCGCAGCTCCACCCCGCAAGGAAACATTAAGATTAAGATCCCACGAAAATCGCTCATCATTAGGAAAGATGACGTCACTTACCTGGGCTCCAGGGTACAGCGCAGCAGCGGCAACCCGAGGGAAGGAAGCAGCGAGGATATGGCCTGGGATCCAGCAATCGTTCCAAAATGAAACCTCCACCCCGCTACCCGGATCGATATGGGCATGCTTCCAGAACAGGCTGTATTCCTTCGAGATATTTGCCCACGGGGAACTAGAAAAACCCCTCCGACACTCCTTCGTCTTCCACTGGGATAGGGGGTTGGGATACTTAACATCGATAAGGGACCGCCACCAACTACTCCGCTCAACAGCGAACCTCCATAACCACTTACACAACAAAGCACTGTTAAAAGAAGCAAGGTCAACCACCCCTAACCCGCCATTAGCTTTAGAGGCTTTGCACAATTTCCAGCCAACCAAGGGAGTTTTGTTTCCCCCGTTCGCCCCATTCCAGAGGAAACTCCTCTGGATCTTCTCCATGTTAGCAATGACACCTTTTGGGGCCTTGAACAGAGAAAAGTTGTATCCCGCAAGACTGGAAAGCACTGATTTGTTAAGAATGATCCTCCCTCCAGCAGATAAATACCGACTTTTCCACCCATCCAACTTGTTCTGAAATTTCCCGATAATAGGCTCCCAGATAGCCGGCGAGTTAGGTCTAGCCCCAAGGGGGAACCCGAGGTATTTTTGCGGTTCCTTACTCCACTTGCAACCGAAGATGTTGACGAAGAATTCCGGCTCCGGGACATCCCCAACGGTAAACATCATAGACTTGTCAAGATTGATACTCAAACCGGTGACATACTGAAAACACACTAGCGTTGCCAAAATCGACAAGACTTGGTCAGCATTGGCATCGCAGAAGATCAGCGTGTCGTCTGCGAAGAGGAGATGAGAGACTTCCCCCCTCCTCTGATCCTCGTCCATGAAGAAACCCTCAAACAGTCCAACGTCGTGCACCTTGCTCAGCATAAAGGAGAGCACATCCATAACCAGAACGAAAAGACCAGGGGAAAGAGGGTCGCCTTGGCGGAGCCCTTTAAAGGCCGGAAAGAAGCCATGAGCTTCCCCCTTAATAAGGATGGACAGCTTAGGCGAACACATGGTACCTTTAACCCAATTAGAAACTTGCGGAGGGAAACCCAAAACATCCAGAATGTGGAACAGGCAGCCCCAGTTAACATTGTCGAATGCCTTTTCAATATCTAGCTTGAACATGAGCCCAGGTTTCTTGCTTCTTCGCCTGCTGTCCACTAACTCGTTAGCAATAAGACCGGCCTCAGCAATCTGCCTACCTTTAATGGAGGCGTGTTGATATTTAGAAACCAGCTTGGGTAGGACAACGCTGAACCGCCGAGACAAGACTTTGCTAATAAGCTTATTAATACTCCCCATGAGACTAATAGGCCTTAGGTCCCTCACCGTTTCGAAAGAGTCCCTCTTAGGGACAAGGCAGATGAAGGAGTGGGAAGCACAGGCTGGAATATGACCGCTAGCGAAAAACTCGTTGAAAGCGTTGACGATATCCACACGCAACCAGCCCCAACCTTTCTTAAGAAAATCAAAGGTAAACTCGTCTGGACCCGGCGCTTTAGACCCATCACAATCCAAAAGACCCTCCCAAATTTCTTTCTCAGTAAAAGGGCTGCTCAGAATCCTACGTTCAATGTCATCAAGGGAAACAGAGAAGTAGTTTCTCATAAAAGGACGAGAGGGGGTGTTCTCCAAGAAAAGCCCGATGTAATAATTAACAATACCTTCAGCCACAGCTTCCTTGCCTTCCACGGAATCATCATTTATTCTAATGCGGTCGATGCACTGCAACTTCCTCCTGTAGTTGGCCATTTTATGGAAGAAACCCGAGTTGCTGTCTCCTTTATTCAACCACAGCTCTCTCGACTTTTGGCGCCAGCAAATTTCTTGCATATTGAGCGCCCTCCCAAGCATGGTAACGTGGTCAGTTCTCCTAACCTTCTCATCTTCAGAGAGAATGCGAGATTCTTCCAGCAAATCCAGCTCCTTGATTTTCCCCAGGAGATCATCGACCTTGCGGTGGATGTTTCCGAAAACCTCCTTGTTCCATACTTTAATCTTTTGTTTGAGGGACTGCAATTTACGAGCCAACCGGAACACGGAACCAAAACCTTGAATTGGGCATTGGCACCAAGAGTCCATCTCCTTGTAAAAACCTTCATCTTCAAGCCACATATTTTCAAACTTCCACGGCCTTCGGGTTCTCCTGTTCTCACCCCATCTGACAAGAAGCGGATTGTGATCAGATTCCACTCGCTCAAGAGCATTAAGGACGGCATCAGGGAAGGAAGAGTCAAAATCGGGCGTAATGAGGACACGATCAATGCGAGAAACAGAGCTACTTCCCAGCCCATGATGCCAGGTGAACCTGCTACCGGCGAGAGGAAGCTCAAGAAGCTCGTTTGAATCGATGAAACTGTTGAAAACCTCCATAGTCTCAGCACTCCTTCTCGACCCTTGATAATCCTCATGGCACCTCCAGCAAAGCAGGCGGGAGAGGAAAGAAGGCTGCATAACTCATTTAATTCCGTGATGAACAGCAGCTTCTCACTCCTGCTTTGAGGTCCATAAACCATGATCAGATGCCAAGAAATCCGATGTAAATTATCCCGAAGATGCACAGCGAGATAGTGAGAGCCTTCCCTACTAGACAGCAGACTGAAGAAAGCCTTATCCCAGAAAACAACAATGCCACCAGAGCTTCTTACAGCGTCTTTCGCAACCCAGCCAGAATCTCTTCTGCCGCTCACACTGCTGACGAGAGAATCCGAACACACATCCCATTTAGTTTCAATAAGCCCCACAATCTTGGGGGACTGCCTCCTGAGAAGATACTTGATTCTGCCCCGTTTCGCAGGGTCCCCCAGACCCCTCACGTTCCAAACAATCAAAGGAGAACTCATGATGTAGAAGATAAACACTCACCACTGCCCCTCCTCTTAGACCGCCTCGCCCCCGACGAAGGAGATGGGGACGGCCCCAGACGATGCAATTCCATTTCCAATTTTGACCTTCTGCTCCTAATCTTTTTCTGGTGCAAGGAACGAGCGGTATCTGATACCAATGATTCCACCGAGTCCTGACTCCCACAAAATTCAAGTCCCAACAGGTTGCTCACACTCAGGCTCTTGTCTTCCAATGTGGCCACATCAAAGGGGTGCTTCTCAAGGTCCCAACAAAGATCAGGGTGTCCAAGGACCCGTGAAGGAGAAGGTAGATCGGAGCAAATTAGTGGGGAGGGGGATCCTGTATGCGTGATAGGGGAAGACACTTGCGGAGAGGCCGGGCCAGAAGGGGAAGGAGAGCTGCCACCGACCAAGTTCCAAGGGGAAAGTGGGTTCGACTCAAACTCCGGCAAAGCGTCCAGATCAATCGGGGCAGAGACACGGCAAGGCCGGACGCAATCAGGGAGGAAGAAGGATAAGGAAGTGAAAACAATTTCGCAGGTCAGGAGACACTCTTCCACAGCAGCCGAGAAGAAAGGCCCAGGCTTAAGGGGGGGAGAGGACGAGACTGGGTCCAGAAGAAAGCTGAGGAAAAAAGCTTCCGGCTTGGGCTGAGAGCACTCAAGAAGAGGGCCCAAATCAAAGCACGGCCCAGCATTCCCAACGAGGCCTGG